ATCTTCTTTAAGCCGGAATCGAAACCCGATGTGGAGATTGAGAGTCACATGTCCTAGAATCAGCGCCACAATGTCTTCATAATATTCAAACACTCAACACCAATAAATCAAAACAAATAACGCTATGCATCAAAAGTAAACCGGATATTAAGTTATTGCTGCAAAAGTGGACTTAAGCTCCAAATTACAACAGAGGCGAAGCCCAGCTTCGCACCACTTGCAATACACCACAATAAAAGAATTTTAAAAAAACGTTGAAAAAACTAAGCCCACCAAAATATAAATGGTCATAAATCTTGATAGAAAGTTCATTCTAGGTAAATATGCCTAACACGCAGATGAAACAACGCCGACAAGGGTGCAAAGGTGACCGTGTGTGAACAAAGCTGGAAGTTGTTAAGATTCACTGATAAAGCAATTACGAGAAGTAAGTAATATTCGATTTAAAAAAATTAAGGGAAAACAAGTATAGTTCACGATTACAAGACAATTGCTCTTTCAACTGTAATAACTAATAAAAAGGAAATTTGAAATGCAAACAAGCTCAAAATATCTGGGAGAGTTGACAAAATAACAGTTGTCGAAATAGTTAACAAAACGACAAAGTTATTCCGTTAGACAATTTGTTAACCTGGAAAAAAATCTATTAATTAGCTTAAACAAACATAATATTTTCACACAGAGGCTAAGGACTCTGCAACTACAAACATTAGAGATGACCACGAGAAACTGCAGCAGCTTGACATCTTGACTTATAAACCGAGTCAACGAGGTTACAACAAAAAAAAGCTTATTGCAGTCAATCAAAAATTTTGGGGTTCGCTCACTCTTCACTGGATTTGCTCAAACTATTTGACACACAGCTAATTTCAGCTTCCCAAACACGAGTACAATCAAACAAGGAAAGTCGGTTGCTCTGCAACTAGCACAGAAAATTTCGACCACATTCATAAAAAAACGACAAGGATTTTTTCCTTTTTTTGATGAGAGAACTTTGCAAATGCGTAGAAAATTAATTGCAAAAGGAAATTTTAAGAATAACAAGTCAAAAAAAATTGATTATTCTAAAGTTTAACTTTTATTTGCGAAGGAAGAGCTTAATGATGCTCTTCAAAAGTCTTGTAATTGTAGTAGCTACGCGCAACGCCATCGTCTGCGGTATTTTGTGCGGTAGCTTTGTTTTGTTGTTTCTTGCTTGCCATGGCTCTCCAGTACTTCATCTCCGTAGGAGATGAAGGTTGATTGCGCTTCCTCTAGTCCCTGCCCAGTGCTCTTGTCCCTGTATCGTGCGGCGTCTGGCAGAATAGTTGTGGTATGCTACATGAGTGGTTACATGAATACCGTTTAAGCACTGGACTCGTTTTGACATTGCTGATCCATATTTCAAAGTCAGCTCTTCGTCGTTGTCGATGTGTGCTGTTTAGAAGTCATCATCATCGTCGTTATTTGACTGAGATTTGATTCTTAAGGGATTTCAGCTCTCCTGCTCCCTCGTGATATGAAGTTTGAGGAACTCAGTAACTTCGAGGGGATAAAGCCAGAAGTCTTCAGTAGTCAGGCCAGTCGGATTTCGAAAGCAGTTGAATACATGATGGACATCGTGCGGCGTCTCATTACAGTCTGGACAGGAATTGTGTACCTCACTACTTTTTATACGGCTTAGGTATGAGTTAGTTAGCGGACTGTACCCGGAGAGGAGTTGAGCAAGTCATATCCGCGCTATCCGCGGTAATTCAGATTCACTGTCAGATATTTGAGACGATACACGTTCCAATAGCTTTAAAGGTTTGAGGTGGTTTTTAGCCTCGTTGTAATGGATAACCTTCAGAGCTTTCCGGCAGTTTTTATGACTTATTAGGCCGGTTTTACGAGTCGCTCAACTGGATATTGGGTTGTTTGATAGTCGGAACGGTGACTCTGGTGTCATCCGATACTTATTGATGGAGACCAGATTGGTGCTCCATAGTTAAGTACACTGCGCTTGCTGGCCTTTTATGTCGTCTTTGAAACAACCCCAGTCGTTGCCGGCCAACTTTTTTATGACATTATTACGCTTTTGTAATTTGTCAGTGGTAGTTTTGAAGTCTTCAAAGTCGTCTACTTTTAGTAAAATCAATTTTTCGTAGCCTAAATGACTAATTTTCATACAACGAACGCTACTCAGTCGAAATGTAACTAAAACTCAAAAATTTCTAATCTGTTTCTCTTGACTCAGAGCAACTTTTCGACCATGTTATTAGGTCTTTCGAATCGAGGCTGAAAAATGTTTATAAGATACGACACTCGATTCATTCCGATGATTATTTGTGGCATCCGATTTTGCCTGGAAAAGAAAAAACTGAAACATACCCGAATACTAAGTTCCCGCCCTTTGATTCAGTGGCAAGAACAATGAAAACCTGAGCAGTCGCGTCAGTGTCGTCTTCAATGCTATTTAAACTACAACGAGAAAAATTCCCCGTCTAAAAACGCCTTAATGGGACCAAGTACCATACCGCAATAGATATTCGAAGGTTTTCTCAGCCGGATTGATTCGTCACGTACCATCGGCATTAAGAACAGAAAACAAAATACTTCAATTATTCCAAAATTGCAATTTTCAGGTCCCGTAACTAAGCAAATACCATCGCAGGAGAATAATCGTTCTAAGCTAGAGCTCAGAACATCAAGACTTTGTAAAAAAAAACAGCCATTAAAATGATGGAAAATGCCAGTTAAGTCAAGGAAACCAAAGAACATTTTTCTGAGCATGTTTGAATTTTGAAAAATACATATCACATCAAAGCCGCTCCCATTTCAAAATCATTTCTGATTGTCGATTTTTTCAAAAACTACCCCAACTAGAGAAAAACTGGGTCATTGTAATTTTTATTCCGCTAAGAAATCTGGAAACAACACATCACTGTCGTAAGCAACTCATTCATGTTACTTCGAGCCATTTTTGTATTTGTAACTGGAGAGCGTAGTTTGCTTTCCTCTTCGCAAATGAACTTGAATGAAAATCAGAAGTCAGACCAAAAACCAAATCGAAAATTACTTAAAACACCGCACCACCGAAGTGGATATCTTCACTCCGTTGATTTTAATAAAAAATAGCCTTGACTTGCCTTGCCTTGCCTTGCCTCTCCGTACAGATTCTAACTTAGCGCTTGCATAAAAACAGATATCAAATAGATATGATCAAAGCAAGTAGAGGCATTCTACAAGAAACAGCTATAAGGTTTTTAATAATTTATATGCAAACGGCATTTCAAAACGATTCGTCCGTTTTGTCAATATCCATATGATCACATTTGGCTTGCAAGTAGAAAAAAACTTACGAAACCTACGACCTGACAATTTAAAGTCTAATGTCCTGACTATTGGGCCATATCCATCCGTCTGAGTTACCCAAAAAACCAGCCACCAATAAAGCGGATAGAACCTATGAGCAGTACTAAGATACTGAAACTGAGCACTGTTGATAAGCTTTAATTTATGTGAGCTAGGTTGGAAAAAAACAATCTCGTAATCTAACAAAAGCGCTTGCTTGTGTAATATTCTGTAGATTTTCAATATCAAACATAGCCAACTGACAGTTGGAAAAGAGTAATGAACGCAGGAAAACTTGAAAAACCGGCTTGTTTTTTCAAAAATTTTCAACTTTTGAATTTCGAATAAAAAATTAGATGGCCTTAAAGCTCTTTAAATTTGTAAAACAATTTATGATGGACACTTTTTTGTTAAAATTAAACCCAATTCGAGAAAACTGGATCAATTGGTTTAAATTATATTTTGTTGGGAAAACTGATAATTAGACGATTAGACTTTTCTGCGAGTTCTTGAAATTATAGAATTTTCGAATCACTGAAAAACTTCAAATGATACCAGACTTGACCCTTTCGGAGAATTTTTTGAGATTTTATTCATGAAGCGGCTGGAAAAAATGACACAACAGCATAGTTCCTTCCAGTCACCTGGTTCCTTCGTGGTCGGAAGAATAAATTCCAACGTTTTTGGCGATTCTGGGAGAGGAAGAAACTGGAACCTTCAAGGCGGTTCTGAGCGAACAACTTTTAACATCCTGTCTTGTTCCTTATACATTTCAATTTACCTTTGATTAACGTAATGTCGTCTAATTATCTTTTAAAAGAAGATTCTCTCAATAAGAAGTTCCATATCACAAAAGAGAGAATTGAGACAAAAAAATATATAGTTTTGTTAACAGTTGAAGCAAAATACACAGAGGCGAAGCGGAGCTTTGTACGAGCAGCAACACCGCACAAACATAGCCAACAGGTATGGAAAAAACTGACTGGTTCCGAATTTCGAAGAAACCAAGATGGCCTTCGAATTTAAAGAACAAATTAGGATTGACCGTTTTTTGATAAAATTAACCCAATTCGAGAAAAATGTATCCATAGGTAAAATTTTTGTTCCTCTGGGAAGTTTGAAAATCAAAATCCGCTTTCGAAACTAAAGTTGATCACGTTTATCGTGGCCTTTACAATTTTGCTGTTCGATAGTGGAGTTTGCCTTTCTTGTAACAATAGAAATGCATTGAACATAAAAAGAAAGCACAACCCGGGTTGAGTTGACGGGAAACATTATCGCTGATTCCGAGATATCTCAGTTTTCTTGAAAAATTCATGGCTAATTCATATCATATTTTTATGAAACTTTTAGCGATGGCTCAGTGTTATTTCATGGCTAATTTTCTCAGCAATAATCATGGACAATTTAGGCATGATAAATCCCTGAATCAGCGCTGAAAAAATTTCAAAGTTTCGAATTGAATTCAAAGTTTCGAATTGAATTCTCTGAATTAACGATAACCCCGGGAAGCTAAACCGCGGAAAGTCAAAATTGAGCGTGAACAAATTTTAATCTTTTCCTGAAAAAAAATTCAGCAAGACCTATAAAAGAGTAGTCACTACATTCATTACTCTTAAAAATGAACTTCCACTTTTATAAAAAGTTAACTCTTCTGTAAATAAATCTGAGCTCTCAAAAAAGAAACGAAACAAAAAGTTTGTCAAGTTTTGCCACATTACATAAGTTTCAATGTCAAAACATCATATCACTCCACTAAGCAACCATCCAGCAGTCAAAGCAAATCACAAATAAATTATACATCAGATAATACAAACAACTGTTCTCCAGAATGACCAAACAACAGCAAATGTGAAGTTTTTAACAAGTTCGAGAATTGTAACAAAAATTAAAAACAGCAGCTGAGTGTCATTTGAAGAACAGCTGTGCAATTCGCAGAATAGCTATTAGGGCAATGAAAAAATACAGCTATTAAAATTCCCTCCAATCAATAATTTTTATTGCTAATATAGACCAGCATTATAGCGACTTCTCGGCAAATCTGAGCGGTCATTTCAGCTGGTGAAAATCCAATTACCTCAGAAACCGCCACACTACTTCTTTTCCCTAGTATTAGCTTTACTACTAAGATGTTAATAATAACAAAACAATCCAGTTTTAAGTTAAAACAGCCCCTGCAGTTGTTAAGACAAGACTGAAACGGTTGGTTGGGTTAAGATTCGAAAAGTATTCTACTGCTTTTGTATAATCATGTCCGTCATCGATTACTGCAATGTCCACTCATTATTTCCCTTTTCATCTTCACCATGTTAAGTTACATCATCGGCGGAATTAATTTCAACCTCATCGTTTCTTTATTTGTTTATTTTTCTTGCATCGGTAGTTGTTTTGGCGAATTCTATTCGAGTGTTTTGATGTGTTGAGTTGTGATTCGGAGCAGGTGCGCGTCTTTTCTATGACTGAACAGGCACTGGCGCTGGCGCTGAGTTCGATTTCGCATCTCCGGAAGGCTCTGTGGATTTGGCAGCCGGCTGAAAAAAAAACATAAATATCATCCAAAATTCACAGAAACAATTGGGCGAAGTCTGACATTCTACTGACCTTCTTCTTCTTTTTCTTCTTACTCAAGTCTATCTTTTCTTTCAATAGCTCCTGAAACAGAATACCTTTTCAATGCAAATGAAACTCGACGTCAAGAGAACTTTATGTAACTACTTGCTTGAAAATTACTTCTGACCATGATTTCAAAGTTGGTTCGTACTGCTTTATTTACACCATATAGCAGTTTTTCTCCAGGCTTTATTGTTAGCTATTCAACAATCATCTCATGTTAAGATGATAAAACTTTGCGGATACTTCATAAATTTTGGCACCAGCATATGGCCTATTATTTCAATTCGATACCTAATTTTTGTTGGTGGAGGTAAGTAACTTTTAGGTACAGAAATTGAATCATGCAACAAAGTAAACTTGAAGGGTCTCTAACATTAACAGCTTCGTCCTGTATGGAGTGTTCGGACTTGTAGAGGGAGGGGTCGAAGTCTACGAAGGTGATCCTCTCGGGACCCCTGGAGTGGACGAAGACGGTGAACTTGAACTGAGCACAGAACTCTCCGCCCTCCTCCACCTAATTACATAAATATGCTATTCAATCCACGCAAAAAGGCACCACTCCGTCAACACTCGTAACAAGACATCAATTTAAGCTCAATCCCATAAATTGTAATAAGTTTCATCTCGTATATTAAATATTTTCTCATGTGCACCTAGGCTATCAAATTGAAGACTTAATTTTAAAAAATGATATTTAAAGCTCGCCCACAATGATAACAGTAACTACTCTTAGCCCCAATTTACTTCCCAAATCAAATCCAAACTGATGTGCCTTCGTGAACAAATAACAGTGCAAGACCACAACCGAAGCCATGGTTACATAGCAGTATTTAGACAACCGCGTATTCAGACTCGTCAGTATTTAGACAAACACTGTTTCAACCAATCAGAATCGAGACAAAAAAGAAATTAATAAATAATTATTATTTATTTTGGATTATTCATGTCTTTTCTCGATTCTGATTGGTTCATACAGTATTTGTCTAAATACTGACGAGTATGAATACGCGGTTGTCTAAATACAGGCTGCACTCCCGAAGCCATTCACTGTATATTCTTAAAATGAGACGAGTTGGCAAAATAAAGAAATAAAGTCCTATGTGGGGGTCCGTTCATAGCGAGTTCTGGAAACTCAGGACTTGCCTGTTCAACCTGTTGCACATCGAACTGTGTCATGAGTCCGTGTTCCCTGCACTCCTTGATGCCCATCTTGCACGTGACGAAGTCAGGCACCTCGATGCCCTTGTTGTCCTTCGTCTTCAACTTCGGCAACACACTCTGCGCTACACTCACGTTGTTTTCATCTGTCTCAAAATACCTAATCGAAGTAATAAGCGATTGCATTTAGTAATTCAGATTTAATAGACAAGGGTTAAAATCAACTGCAATGCCAGATTAAGATAGGTCAATTAGAGACTCAGACAGGAAAAGTCCTATTGGCTTTCAAACTTGACTTTGCTTCGTCCAAGAGAATTTTGATGAGCCATCGATCAGAAGCGAAATCAACACTTTTTCATTTTTGTATGTTAAAATGAAATAAAACTCTTAAAACTGTCTTCAAACTGGCTATATTTGAAGTCTTCGGCGTTTTAAAAAAGCGAAATAAAAACTTTCAAACGCTAGAGTGTTCGTTACAGAACTCTGAAGTGCATTATGAGAGACCTGAGATTGAAGGGCATGAACTGGAACTGGTTGTTTGCGTAGTTGAAGAAGTGTCTGCTCCTCTTGCTCTTCAGACTGTAGTGCACCTGTTCCAGTTTGTAGATTGTGGTGTCCAGGGAGGTCAGTTTACACGTTCCCTTGCCAGAGGAGACCAGCACATCTACTGCATACACTTCGTGCTCCTTGACTTCTGGCTGGGTGTGGTCCTTCCTACCCTCTACTGACCCGTTGATCAGAATTCCAGTCTCTCCTTCTAACCTACAAATATGCAAAATTGATGAACTTATTGTAAAACCCACAGCATTAATCCCCGAAGAAGCAGGACATTAACACAGAAATATAATAACTAGCTTTATTAGCAACTTATTACGAACAAAATTGCTTCGTCTAGTTTAGAGACTAGATGCTCTAAGACATCCATGCTGTTATATGATATCGAAGAATCTGCATAGAGGCGAAGATAGGCTTCGCCAGGTTGACCACTTCGGCCAAGAAAAAAAGTGAGCTGTCGTTTTTATTCGTTAAATAGCTATTGCATCCTAGTTGCTTCACAAATAAGTGATTTTTTAAACTAATTTTATTAGATTAGTCATGAATGCAACAGTTAAATTTGCAATGCTCTGCATCTGCCCATGATCTTTCTGAAAAAAGTAACTTGAGTGTTTTTCGACAAAAAAGCGAACAAAAAGTGACTAGTTACTTAAACAGTGATCAAGTGGCCACTACAGACTCAAGGCATTACATGCCCAAGAAACCAAAATTCACAAGAAACGAAGATTTTCTCAAATTTCAGGAGCTGTAGGAGGAACCAATAACCAATTCTCAGCACAGCAGTTCTTTAATGATTACACAGTAACATACATGAACAAAATTTTGCACTCATAAAATGCTCAAATAAGGTATTCAATGCACCAAAATTGCTTCAAAGAGATAGATTATAAGCAAATAAAAATAGGAAGAACGATTAAAAACAAGTTCAGCCATTTGCTTCCCATCATTTAGTACTGATAGTATTGACCGCATTCGATTTGGCAAAAAAAAAAATCAAAAAACAACACGAAAACTATGAAAACAATACATTTTGAAAATATGTGTTGTTTTCAATCCGCTATGTAATGTGAGGTTATGAGCAAAGCCTAGGCCTATTCAATAGTCATAGTAAATTAGGTGTATTCGTGTATTCAATGTTTCAAAAAAATTCGTATTCCCAAGAAAGCGCAAAGACTACATTTCTCGCCTTCAATTAAAGCGTATCTTCCTATTATAAGCCTGCTTGTTACCATTATTCGTTCAAATTAGACAAAAAAAAACGGTTTTCCTCGACACTGAGAAAATTTTGCGGAGCTTCACATCACAACTGAAAAAGCTTTAATATGATATATCACTCGACCTACTGAGAATATTAATTTTGATACTTGATACGGCTAAAAAAAACTTGAAAAAATTAAAAACCCCGAGGACATTTCCTCGCCTCTTTCAGCGGTCGGAACGAAAATCAAAATTAAACTTCAAAACAATTTATGCGATCGTTTTTCAACCTATTCGATGTTCTGAAAATGATAAATTTTCAAAACTATCCACACTTCGATTAAAGAAAAAAACCATGAAAAAGTTCAGTAAGAAAAAAACATGAAAAAGTTCAGTTCGAAATTTATATATCAAAATTCTTTCGAAAACAAAACTAATTTCAAAATACTGGTGCTACCAGTGTGTAATTTTATTGCTCTTTTACAGTGTTTTTTTTGTTCTTCACATATGTGCTGATGATGAGTTTTGTTACTCTAAATGCATTAACATTTTATATCTGTTCGTTTTTTGAAATAAAAGGATAGACGGTGGCTGTACAAGTAGCACAGAATTTTCCGAAGATATTCTTAAAAAGTTTTTTTTTCATAATTTTTTTTTGCCAAAATGGCAAAGTTTTTTGTGCGTGGTGTGACAAAAGGACAAAAAGAAAACATGATTGTAGGTATATTCGACAGTCACAGTAAAACAAGCAAATGGAGCAACAATTTTCGTCGAAAAATGACTAGAAAACAAAAACAAAAATTTCAAAAATTTTGCAGAATGGCAGATTTTTCAATTGCAAAAATGGCGGTAAAAACTTCAAAAAACCTAAGTTTCATGGCTTATCCTTCTATAATAAGCCTGCTCGCTTGCTTTAATCGCACCAAATTAGACAAACTCAAAAACTTCAAACCGGTTTTTTTTCTCGACACTAGGAAAACTTTTCGATTACTTTGAAATTGAAATTCGATTTCAAAGAGCTTTATTATGAAATATATTTCGAGTCATTCCGATGATTATTAATGGTGAATTTTTGGTTGAACTACAAAATAAGCCCACTCTCTCACCTTATTCGCTCAAGTATACTCCAAAACTCAAAAACTTCAACCCAGTTTTTCTCGACACTGATGAAATTTTTTTTATAATTTGTTTATGTCGTTCGAATCACGACGGAAAGGACCTTAATTTGATACATCACTCGGCCCATTCCGAGGATTATTTATGGTTCTTGATTTCGCGTGGAAAACAAAAAAAAAGAAAAAACTAAAACAACCGAATACCTCGGAACAATAATAACAAAACTACATTATTTGCATTAGTAGACTTAACAAAACATTTATGCAGGGGCGAAGCTGCATCTTACGAGCACAACCGAGAAAGAACACTTAAAATTCAAACAAAGAAAAAGGCAAAAATAAACAGGAATACATTAGGGAATACAATCGGGAATCATAAAGCCCAATCCCGCTATTTACTGGAGTATAAAATCAGTTTTAAAAAAATGAATGCAAAAATTAGAAACAACTGCCACAAAAAACAACTTGCAGAAAACCTGAAAAAAACTCTGAAAACCTGTACAAATAACCCAATTACATCAAGACTTATCAAATTGAAAATTTATACGCAACGCTAAGAGAGCTGGGTTACAACAAAAAAAGATAACAGTAAAAAACGCATTTAGAGGAAATAAAAAAACACGATAAGTCTTTTTTTCATGAACCGCACTCCTGGTCCTTGTGCAAATCTTGCCGTCACATTCCTTTGTAGACAAAACGGTCCAGTCAAATTTGCAAAAAAAACATCTGGAAATTTACCATGTTTTTTGAATAATTTTTGACATATTGAAACAATACGTTAATCCATCAACTAGAATCGATTTCAAATAAAATTGCTCAAACCTAAAACACACACCGAACTAATAAATAATAAAACCAGGTCCACGCCCTTTTCGAACAAAAAATCAGAAATCATGCATCAAAAAAATGAAAATTTTGTGCAAAAAAATCTAACAGAATTTTTGGCGCCCAGAAAAACCATGAACTATATTTACCCCAATGAAACTGAAGAGAAAAGTAAAAAAAAAATGTACCAAAAACTGAAGAAAAAAATACCCGACATGTAAGCCGACAAAAATTGGGTCTATACAAAACTTTGGTCTTATTTTTTCTATACCGATATTAAAACGCTGTAAAACTCACGCCACAGAAGGCGAAATTTAGATTTTACGAAAAATAAACATTTTAGCGCACCTCTCAAGAACTACGATGATATGCTCGGATTTGGACAAAGCTGCTATTTGAAAAAATGCTAAAATCGTATCAAGAAAAACATTGAACAAGGTTACATCACTGCAGCAGACTACGCAGTTGGTTGGCTGCACTTACACGCGCCCAACATTTCGAACACTCAAATGCGTCATTAGAGTAGCTTTTCTTGGATCTCTCAACTCATCGCCAAACTCTCATAGGTTACGACCCAGAATAACCTAACTTTTGTTTACTGTTATCTCTCACTGTTATATGATGGCGTATCAATTCAACAATTTGATCGCATCTATTAACTAAAGTAATTCTTATTGATGGTAGCAATTACTTACTTTCTGTCCCTTATTCGGCCAGACACCAATCGAAACTCAAACCGTTTCATCAAATTAAACACATAAATTGTGATCTAATTTATAAAAACATAGCCAATCGAAGATTGCATGAGAGAAATGAGCTGTTTGAATTTCCAGAATATATGATTTGCACTTTTTTGCTAACACTAACCCAATTTGAGAAAACTGGATCGATAGGAAAAATTTATATTCAGCTGGAAAACCTGAAAATTAGAATCCACGTTCCAAACTAGATCTCAATCACATTTTCGTGACCTTAACACGTTTACTGCTCGAGATCGAAGGAAGTTTGCCTTTCAACGAAGGAAATGAAGTGAACTGAAAAATAAATCAAAAGTCAAACCGCAAAAATCTCCAGTTTAGCGTGAAAAACTTGTTTTAAATTCACCAAGACCTATATTAGAGTATTCACTGCATTCATGGCTCTAAAAAAATTCAAATTAAAACAATACGGCAGTTTAATCACTGCTAAATGACAAATATACGAGCTGTTCATTTGCCTTCGGAGAACTACTGTTTTTCCTTGAACAAGATATACCTTAATTTTCTTTAAAATGTTTATCTGGGTTGGAAATGGTTCCCAAAAACCAACCAAGAGTAGCCGGTTGCTGTACAATTAGCACAAAATGTTCCGACCACAGCTAACAAAGCAAAAAGATCTATTTTTTTTCAGAGTGAAAAAAGTCCCACACAACAATATCACCATACTTATCAACTATACGCCATAGTTACTTTTAAATTTTCGAGCACGGCTGATACTTTACCCGAAACAGCTCTACTCCACTTAGAGTTAAGAAACGTTGAACAAAACTTTGATAATCAGAATTGCAACCACTTGCGATACAAAACAAGAAAACTGCTAAGTCGGAAAAGAATCGAACGCAAAAACTATATCTATCAAAAAGAATAAGGTTATTTTTGAAACAGAAACATACCAAAACAACAGAATGCGAAACTAGCATGGGAAAAAATTTATCAAGCTGTAACAAAGCCAAAAATATCTAAGCAGAAACCTTTTGAGCCATGAAAACTGTCATGAGAAAATTGTCATGAGAACCTATGATTTCTATTAAAACTTTAAGCTTTTTATTCAATCCAGAGGTGAGTATAAAATTATTTTCCCCCTGAAACTCTTCAAAAGCAGGTCACTAAGCCGATAAAAAATGAGCGGAAACCATTTGGGCAGAATAAAGATTGTCGGCGAAAATAAAAACAAAACAACAAAACAAAACGAAGGCTAGTGAAGATTCAAATAGCAGAAGAAAAGCAACTACAATACAACTTGAGAAAAAAAAAACAATTCTACGATGTGCCAAATAAGCGGACAAAACATGAGCAACAAATATTAATCCGACAATTTTTTTGAAATGGAATTTTTCGTTCAAAACAAAAAAGGTCCCGTAAGATTCGAATTCAGGACCTTTGCCATCCCAGGCGTATTCGTTACCTCCAGTGCAAGTGTGACGGAGACGCAAAGGAACTTGACTTTATTATGAACTAAACCTAAATTTACTAATTCTAATTTTGACCATTCTCTGAACAAACTTATTTACGGGGAAAAAGTCTAGTACCCGATTGCAATACCCTTGCTTATAGCAAGGTTAATTAGGTATCCAAAGCTTACTGACTTGTTCTGGTCCATGGCGTAGAAGAGCATGTTCTCCACTGGTTTGCACTTGAACTCTCCCGTCACAGTCTGCACCACATCCGCCACTTTCTGTCCAGGGGTGCCCACTTTGAGACTCCTAATAGCCGCTTCTGCTGCATAGTACGCAGCCAAGATCACGTCCGCCTTCTTGCCCGTCGCTGGAGATTCCTGGAACAGCAACACGTGCGAACTATGAAACATTCACGTACGCAAAAAAAAACAGTAGCGGAAAATTTAAAGCCAGTGGAACTATCGGTGACTTTTTCACGTTCAATTCGCATAGATGAAATTCAAAAACTATACAACCAATACAAATGTCTATCATTCGAACTATCAGGATATGAGTATACACATCATCAAAAGGTATGCTTTTAAAAACCTAGCTTTATAATCTAAGCTAATGGTCAAACGCTACATAAAATTCCTCTTTCATGAAGACTACATTTGATGACCAGGAAATAATGCCTAATTCACGAAACCAACAACTACGGAATTGCACAAAACGATTCAAGTGTACATGAACATGATTCGGGATTTTTGAAGTGCATATGAACAAAACGGCTTTAATGTAGTCAATACCTTGGAAGCTCCAACGACAAAAGAAAGAGCAGATATTGCTATGTATCCGTCCACGTGCGTGCCCAGCTCTAACTTGACCAAGTCGCCATTATTCAGAGTGACGTCATTCGCTTTTAGAGGAGAGAAGTGAGCTAGGTGACCGTTGAGTGAAATGCAGGTGGGGAATGCAATGCCTTTTTTGTAGGGCGCTTTCTTCGCGAACTCTCCTGTCTTCTGAATGATAAGGTTGTCGCCCATCTGACATAGATCTACAATTGAAGCTCCACTCACGCATTTGGACTGCACGGTTTTGATTGTGTCTGAAACAAATAAAGCACTGACAGCTTACAATAAAAATCACGACCAAAAAGCAGATATGTATAGTGCGCAACACACAAAAAACTTGAAAATTCTTCAAAAAAGTGACAATGTGAAAAAATGCGAATCTTAATTTTTTTAAAATAAACTATATAAACTCGTATAACTCAAACAGGCCCTTCTTGTGAAAACAATCCAGGTGAACAAACATGTTGTTAACAGAGGCGAAGCTCTACTTCAGACAACAATAAAAAACAAAGAGCACTAAAAATGCTTAATAGCCGAAAAGTATATGCAATTTTTCTAGTGATGAGAAATGGAATTGGACTACAAGTTGTGCGTACCATTAGTAATGCGGGCAGCTGTTTTGTACTTTTCAGAGACCTCAGCAGACGAAATGTTCGGCACCTGATCTTCGTTGTCGCTTTTCTCATCACCGGATTTACTATTCCCGGAAGCACTTCGTGACGACATAATTGAAGTGGTTGCTGTCAAATCCCAAATAACCGGGTCACACAATCTGAAAATGTTGGATAAAAATAGTAAATCTAGAAAACGACATATTTACCATCAGTAGCTAAAGCTGCTTCCATGCATTTTTCACAAAAATTTAATGAATTAACATGAGTTTTCTCCAATGAATTCAGACATCTTACGTTCCGACGAAAACTGCTTAACTACTTTGTTTCAACCAACCGCAAAAAAAAATTGAAAGTTCAAATGGTACCGAACCTTCTGTTATATTCGAACCCCTTCCTTCCTATCACGATTTCGCGAAATCTTGAACACAAAAGCCTATCCAAGTTGCTCAACATCTGGGTTACAACAAATAACAAAAAAAACTGTTAAATATTCCACATACCTCAAAAGTTTTAAAAATTTGAAGATTTATACACAAGGCGAAGCGGAACGTAGAAAAACTTGCGATACAATTATAACATTTCATTACGAAATATCGAAAAAAAAGACGGAAGTCTTTTTTCAAAAAATAAATTGAGCTGAAGAAATAACTTGAAAAAAGTCGAAAGAACTATCTACAAAAATTCATACCCTTGTTCCATCGGTGATCACAAAGAGCATTAACAAGCATTGAGAACCAATGAGCGAGCGGCAACTGAGGCTTAAAAACTTGGGTGGATCCTCGTTAAGCCGAAAATGAAACTAGGCATAAAAATATTCAAGCAAAGTAAAACTTTCCTTCCTGAAACAGGTTAAAGCATTAAAAACTCACTCTTGAAGCTGCGCAACATAAGCTGACTTACAATATAATTTAGAAAATTCCATTACAAGATATTCAAAAGAAAAAACGAATAAAGTCTTTTTTATAAAAAAAATTTAACTGAAAAAAGTCCAAAAAACTCATCTACAAAAATTTCATACCTTTGCTTCGGAAGATGTTCGCAAATAGTATATGTACCAACCACAGAGCAACTTTCAATGGTAAAAAAATTGTTTTAATAAAAAAAACCAGCTTTGAAAAAGAACCACTTGAAAAGCTTACCAGATATAAATTGCTTTGAAAAAAAACGGAAAATCAGCTGACTGAAATAAGAACAAAAACCAAATTGAAAACAATAATTAACAACCCATATGAACTATAAAGAAGTTTTATTTAAATTTTCAAGAAATTGAGCATGTCATCAGCTATTGAGCATGTTAGCAATGAACATGTCAACAGAAAGTGAAAGGAAAGTTGTTAAACAGTTTGAAAAAAAATCTAGTCCACGATTAATAGTCATTTGCTCTCGCAAGTGAAATAACTAAAGCCCAACAAAAAATGGAATTACCCAGTAGATATGTTTTGAAGAAAATGCACTGATGCGAAAGCCAATGCGTAATTTTCAAAATGTCAAAAATTGGACGTTTTCCAAACCATGATAGGTTCCCTTCATGGACACTTTGAAAGGCCTTTAAAAATTAGGAAACTACCGCATGCACATCGATTGAGCTCTTAACCTCATTGCCAGCGTAGTTTTCGAAAAAAGACGAAGTTAGAGAAAGCGCAAAAATAGGGAAACTTCAAAAATTGTCAATTTCTAAGGCAATATTTGTTTCTTCACATATTAAGGCAAAACCACTTGTGCTAAGAAAATTCGCAAAACTTTTTTTCCTTATTTGAACCTTGCTAATCGGATTTGGCAGGGTGATTTTAGAGAACAAAAGTGGACATTTTCGAAGGCCATAAATAATTTTGTGCCATAACAATCTAGGATGTCGACATTAATGCAGAAAATTTTACAAATTTGAACAATTTCTAAGGCCCTGATCCAAAAAACGTTCAACATTTCAAAACACTGACTTTTACACAATGCTTTACTACACTTGCTTTTCAACAAGTCTAACGAAGCTTTTCTACACAATATTGGATAACCATTATGCAGAGCAAACTCCGGTTTCCTATTTTGCATTGAAACCTTTATCTTAGGTTTGACACGGTATTTTCATGAAAACTAAAAAGGTTTCAACAAAACCGGCAAAACTTTGAGAATTGCAAATTTCCGAGGATTTCATAAGAAAAGTCAGAATAACATTCGGAAAAAAAACGTCCAAAACATTCGAAAACGTTCTCTAAAAAAATAGGACGCATCCATTTATGCAGCGGGTATTTCTATATGATGTTTATTCGATTGCACTCTCAATTTTAGATTTGGCAACTAATTAACAACAATATCAAAAAAACCAAAAAAGCCCATAAATTGATTTCCTTCCCTCCCCTCCAAAAGCCGTAGAACATGAGGTAAGCTAAACAGAGACTGGAGTAACAACAAGTCACACAGGGAAGTAGCCAGTCTTCTCCATTGTTACCATTTCTTTGAAACAGAGATGAATCAGAGCTTCGCTTTTCTTGCGATACAAAACGATTGCCTATCAATACTTACAGATGAACTGACAAACGAAACAAAAAAACTTTTAATGGTAATTGAAATAACTGCACCTTTGGAAATTATAAAAAAAAGATACAAAGCAAGAACTTTGAATTCAGTTGTTTTGCTTTCTAAAAACTTCCGTAGGGAGTTAGTTCTTGGTGATTAGATCTGTCTTTGATCCATCCTGTATGTATCAATTTTCAAACACGTCTATCACTTAGCGAGAAAAATACTAAAATGAAGCCTAATTGATAACTCAGGGCCTTAGAGTAAAAATCAGAAACTTGGCACTAACCTTTCTCGAGAACATTTTATGAAAATTATGCACTCTAGGTCGACTCACGGCTTCAATGGATTTAGTATGATACATCTCTACCCATTCTGAAGATTAGGTTGTACTTGATTTTGCGTTGATAAAGAATTGAGACAACCTATTACAAAATGCTTCCCACCTTTTAGTGATTGAAACTAAAACAATCACAAAGATCAACACCAAAATTCATAACACCGATGTTGCTAGGGGCATTTTTCTTGAAGCAGTTTTAAATTCATTTTTTCCATTATTCTAGTATTAGCTTTTTACCTGTTCTAAAATGGAACGCGTTAAGGCTCACTTCTGCTGAAGCAAATTATCTTAGTTCATATTACAAACATTCGATTTTTAAATCTATAAGAACTGTCGAAAACGCCTGAAATCACAAACTCAATCAAAAATTATTAGGAATAATGGAAATTTCTATTAAGATATAACTTGTAGATTTCAACGACTTTTTGTTGTCCTGTTGTTATTATAAACTGTGTTTTCCAGACGTTCGTTTGCTTCCTCTATCTTTCGATATTTCACGTTCCGCATTTTATTGAAAAATATAAACCCGGTACCCAGAAGTAGAAGAAGTTGAATTCGGATGTAGAACTTCCACCTTAAATCTGCTGTTTTAGTTTCTGGCAAATAATCGGGTACATCTTTAAAAGATCGATATAAGTCGCGTTTGAAGATCACAGCCAAAATTTTCTCGAAGGCAGTCGTCTTTCTGTAATTGGATTTGAAAAGTTTTGTCTGACTAGTTTCTGGTTTATAAGTGTCATTAGAACGCTCTCTTTGCTCGACAACTGTTTCCGCATGCAATAGATCCTTTTTCTCTGACATCAATATCGGGCATATTTTCAGACATCTGCTCTGACGTAAAGATAGCGTGCCTCTTCGGGAAAGATACATGAAGCAATATCAAAAAATATTCATTCGTCAATTATATCTGACATGTTTTCAGTCATATTCTGATTTAGAAAGCTTCCAACATTGCAAAAGAAAAACACTTATGGTTTCTGGCCGAAAACATTAAGAGATTTGATACTTTTTCAGAAGTTCAAGAGCTCGAGGGCAACTTCAACAACTATCGATAGAAAGATTCCAATCAAAAGTTTGGAACGAAAGAATCATTAACAAACTGCGGACCTATTATTGTCCCACCAGCAGCAAATGGTAGCCCTAAAGTCAAAGCGTACGATGGCTATAAAAATTTTAAGAGGCAAAGAGCAGCTGTAATGGGAAAAACTCGAACAAGCTGCTGCAAAGTTCGAAGAAGTCAATCAATAGCCTCAAAATATCTGAAAAAAAAAACAGTTTGCAGAAGGAAAAAAACTCTTAGATAAAATTTTGATTGACATATAATAATAATCATTATAATAATAATAACAGAGGATTTAGGAATATAATCCAAGGGTTTTTATAAAACCCAGTCATTGCATTGTTCGAAGTTAAGTTTTCAGTTATAAGTGTAAGTTTCTTCAGGTCTCTACAGTTGTTGCATTCGCATAAGCGTGCCATTCTGCCAGATTGGCACAGCGCAACCTTCCGGTGGGACAGAAAAAGACGACTAAAGGCCTTAGTAACAAAAAAGTGCTGCGATGGAGGGTCGAAATATTCCGGAAGTTTAAACTTTTAAAATTTCGATTGACGGGCAAGTATTTCTCAGAAATACAAAAAAGACGGCCATTTTGACAAAAAATAACGAAAAAACAGAACAACGACAAATATAGTGGAAAACAGTCGCACGAGAAAACGAAGCCTCTTATCGTGGCAATCACACACGAAAGACCGATAGCAGAGAGAAACGGTGAGAAAGGAGGCTTCAGTGGGGAAGGAATATTCCGCGGAACCCTCCCGTGCCACAAATTGGGAGAGATAACAACGTTATCTCGAGAAGAACACGGGAGCGGAGGCTTGGCCCCCCAGAGACTGTCATATGATGAAGGACTGCAGTAAACTAACTTTTTAGCTACTCTGATGCCATAGAACTTTGAATTAACACCGGTGTAACTTGATATTTTAAAGTATGAGTAGCTAGAAAGAGGAAAGGGTCAATCCATCTCCAATGGATTTAATATAGAACTGTCACGCAAAAACATAATAAAATAGGGTGTTCGAGCCGTGTTTTTAATAGCAATCACGTAGTCTGAGGATCCGAGACTCAGCTATGTGGTTGTGTTCGCATGTAAACGAAAGCTGATCAAAAGTCGTTTGACTGATGGCCTAAAAATAGTAACTTTTTACTTAGCCCTAAACAGACCAGAAAATCAACTGGCAAGGTCGAGATGGTGAAAAACGAGTAGGATTAAGGTAACTGACGCCTGCCAGTAGTTAATAGGTAC